ATGGTAATCAGGACTAAGGACCGGAAGACTGTCTACCAATCAAACCAGACTGAGATTTGTAAATCGACAATCTGAGCGCTTTTCCTTGCCATCGATGTCTCTTGTTTTCACTTTGAGCATCGGTAATAAATGCTGCCAATATCAAATGATGTTTAGGATAAGCAGCAGTGTATCATGTGACCAGAGTCATCAAAAGGGTCTATGAATTACCTACGAGCAAACATGTCTGACAGGTGCGAAGAGTCCTCATCAACAACTCACACAGTTCATAGAATATTGCTAGCTGAGCCACGTTCAAACATATGTTTCTCAAATTTGGACGTTGTCCGTCAAGATAATCATGCTCATGCAGACGAGACAGCTTAAGTCGTACGCAAAGCTCATCGTGAAATCTACGACTCATGAGTCGTGGGCGCTTGACCGTGCTATTTGGGAGTTGTGCTCCAAACGAGAACAGGATTTCGAGCTTAACCCTTAGGAAAAAGAACGACTCTTTGCCGAAGTGCGTGTGATTGATTGAAAATCTCCGTCACACTTGATCTTCAGTTAGTAACCTCTCATCCCTCACCTGGATTTACCTTACAGGTCAATACAGCGTGCCAAAGGCTTGAACGCGATTATCTGTTTAATCGACTGTTCACTGCTTCACTACCGTCGGTGCGTTCGCTATGGTATCCTTTATCGTCCGCGTAACGGCGATGAACAACGAAAAACACGCCCTACTGCACGTTACCTTGACATAGGATTTCCTACTCAGGTCATTGCCTGGTCACCACGGCGTAGGCGGGTATGATTTTACACTGAACTACTTGAGCGGCATTCATTTCAAAGTTAATGGTTGTAGCAGAAAATCAATTTTGCTTCAGCAGCCCAGCTTTCAGAGTACCTCCTAGCATTGTGACTCTACATCTCGGCATTTGAGCGCTGCCCTCTCAACATTTAGCTGACGACTAGCAGGACGCTCGACTATATAATTACACTGTGAACAATTTCTGATGAGAAACCAACTTCGTCTTCCTCCTTCATCCTCCTTTCATGCGAAACCGGGTCAGAACAGTCTACATCGGTAATCACCTATTTAACAGCGGTTAAAGTGACATTTTCAACAGTGCAACTTTTTGCCACTCATAACGAGCATCTGAAGGAAGCACCCTCTTTGCCACCCTTATGGAAATGTTGGAAATCGAACTACAGTCAGGCCTAATCATTCAGCTCTAATTGCCAGATTGCATACAACGGCATCGGCGCTGAAGAGGCCCATCGAACACGTGGCACGGTGGACAAAACGACTATCTAACGCCATTACCAGACGATAGTGTAGCGATGAAAGGCTCTCAGCAGGAGAGCAGTTCATTCGCTTGAGCGATTCCTTTTGACTCGCCAAATTGGCGCAATTCACTGCCTGAAACTGTTTTTGTTGTTATTAACTCTGCTGAGAAAATCCGACAAGTCAAAACTAACTACAGAGGCATATCCGTTTACCTCACACTATTTTCAAAGAGTCGGATTTCCGCTGCGGAGATGAGCTGTCCCAGATGAACGTTGGACGTCATTTTCCTAAGTTCACTGATTTCAACAGGTCATGAGGTCACGCATTTGTTAAATACTGTTCGAGCCTACCTCAGGTTCATGTTTCAGTCCTGCTTTGATGCTGCCATCGTTCAGTTTGGATTATACTTTGGAGTGCTTCTGGTGATCTTGAGAAGATCAGAATATCTTCCGAAACCCGCAGGTGGCTAAGAAGTGTGCATTTATTTTTAACCCCTGATTTTCGCAAAGGAGCATGTTAAAATCTTCTTGTAAGGCTGCAACGAATATCGTACTTTTGCGCTGACCCGTCAGACCTGTTATTCGACACTGGTCTGGCTCATGCAATCGTAAGACTTCACAGTATCAGTTGCATTCTTGAAAACCATTGCAATGATCTTTCCGTGTCTTTCCTGGATTACCTGATTTTTCAGGGAATACAGATCGAGTGTGGACTGAGTCGAAGGCTTTGTCGAAATCGAAAACACACAGGAGGGGAGCAAGCTGCTATTCGTTGCTGTCTGAATCACTTGCAATATCTTGAAGGTGCTCGTCTGAATCCTGCTTGCACCTCTGGCTGTGCAGAGTTCACTTTGTCTTGAATTACGTCGATACCTTGATGAAGATCTGGCGGATGATTAGCGAAAAACAAATCGATCTGTAGTTCTTCGGGTCCTCTTTGTTACCTTTTTTGTACAAGTGAATTACCGATGCGGAAATTTCTCAACTTCCAATTTTCCGTTCATTCCACCACGTTAAAACAAGCACTCTAAGAACAATCAGCATTTTACCTCTTGATTCCGTGAGTTTCATTCCAAAGCCGTCTTCGTCAGAAGTCCTTCACCGCATGTCGCATTTCTTCCGGCAACATATCTGGAATTTCGTCCGCTCCGTTTGTTTTCTTAGATTCTTAATTGTCATTTATGGAGTCACTGCTTACTTTTATACAATTTTCTGCACAAATTTTCCACTTTCTTCAGGATCTCTTGCCCGTTCTTGATTATACCATATAATTAACCATTATACCATTAACCATAATTATACCATTTAATTGAAAGTATAATCATATCAAATTTTCTTTAATCTGTCTTTATCCTTAACAAGAATACAGCATAAATGCACTGAAAATGGTTATCAGAATTATCATTATTCACTATGCTGTAAATATAGCGAAATATCTAACAGTCTTCCATTCAGGCAGTGGAAGGCAGAATTTCTTACTTTCCTCGATAGCATAATTCTCTGATAAAGAAACATCCCCGTGGCCAGAGTTGTTTGAGGCCCAATTGAGAGTTATTCATTAGACAGACATAAAAAAACTGGATCGAAGACATACTACTCTTTTGAGAGTAGTGTAAAGTAAAGTCGTGTAAATCCATCTTCTCAATTTAGCTTATTGCTCTTTTTTCCTCTAAGGTAGAGAAGTATTCCATGTGACATTCACCTATTTTTGAAATCAGATAGGCAAATTCTGATATGCAATGCCAATAACTGCATGGCATCAAATATGATCGTAACAGACTGCGTTTTTCTGGGCAGAGATCAAAGAATTACCTGTAATATGCTAATCGGTGGCATTATACTGCCCAATTTGCCGACAACCGTTTGCCCAGTGTTCTGCACACGTATGCCTGATTCTGACTTTGTTTAATGTACACGAATAATGGAACGGACCTCGTTAAAAAAATCATCGATGTGATCGTTACAATGCTTTTTTAACGTTGTTCAGTGTATATGCAGAACGCAATGAGCAAGAAACTGGTTTTGTGGTTTGTTTGAGGTTTTTCTGTGTGCCATTTGTTTATGGACCGCGATCACCTGCGGACAGTACAGGTGCCAACGACGGACGACGGTCAAGCGATGAAAGCAAGTTTACCTGACTCGTTCGACAAAAGCTGGGCGACGTCGGTAGTGCGGAACAGGGTCCTCGTCATATCCTGGCCGAAACTGGAAGAAATCAGGACTGCGGTGATGACTCGGAAAAAACTGACCCGCAGAAGAAGGCGGCAACGATTTATACTACCTCGCATGCCTTCTACGGGTGAACATGATATACGGCTATGGCAAATGAAGACGGCGTCCGCCGGCGCAGAGGGGATCGCGCTCGCGACACCTCTGGGCCCGGAACTCGATCGCTGGTGACGGTGACTGCTTGGGCGTTCACCAAGGGGCGTCGTTCGGTGTCCTAAGTACCGCCACAGACACAGACCACGA